GTGGGTGGGTATGAGTCCTCTCCCGGAGGACAAAAGTGCATAAATTAGGCAGGAAAAAGGGCTAGTTCCGATTACTTGCCGATAAGGTTCGTATAGCTCATCCCGAGCCGCCGCCGCCGGACCGCGGCGTGCGGCGTGGCGTGGTGGGGCGAGGCGGGGCGCGGCGCGGCTGGCGGGGGCCCAAGCTCACTGCCCACCAATGGCCCATTCATCTGGCCACTCATCTCTGGCCGTGCCCGCTGGGGGCCGCGGCCGGGCCGCAGGGTCCAGCAGGGGGCGTGTGGCGCTGCGGGAGGCTGCGCCGCTGCTCCGCGGTCCATTCATAGGAGGCGACTTGGAGCCTAACCTCCAGACCAAAGCAAGCGGCCTGCTGAGCGAGAGGCGAACACCAATTCCGAGAATGTGCTGGTCGTGCGTCTTATTAGCGGTTTTATCTGGAAATAATTATGATGTGTGTTCCGGCCAGCCAGTCGCGGCGAAACTGTCTTTTATTTCTTCGCTGCGTTGCTTTATTTCCAATAGAAATGCCCGTAAAGACAGAAACATTCTGCTGTCTGTAACTTTTTGAATATTTTTGTTGTAGCAAGTAAGCTGCCGTTTCACTTAGTCCGGTTTTGCGATACTTTTAACGCAAAACCATGCGATGAGGCAAAAAATTATTTTATTACATTTTTTGTGATGATTTCATCACAAAAATGTGATACTTTTATCACATTTTTTTGGATTTATCATGCCCATTAGCGTAGGAATAGCAAAACACCAGTTACCGCAAAAATTCAGTAAAAATATCACAAAACGGATTTCAGTGTTGGGGCGGCGGTGGGGCAGCGCACGGTCGTGGAGCGAGCGAGAAAGAGAGAGTGAGGGGCGGGGGAGAGACAGTCATGTATGAGGGGAGAGAAAGACTGCGGGGTGGGGTGGGGGGCAGCTGGAGTTGGCAACAATATATGCACCAACGAAATACGACGTTGCTGCTTGGGTGCATGAACGAATGGCGGGCGTAAGTCATTTGCCTTTGGTATTGCGACGGAGGAGGCGCGGCCCGTAAAGCATCGCGCGCGCGCTGGGCACAAAGCTCTCCGCTGTTCACTGCGCCCGCGCCCCGCGCCACCCCGCCCCGCCCCGCGCGGTCTAGTTTCCCAGGCGCCATTAATTTCGCGAGTAATTTGCCCGCTGTCACACGGCGGCAGGCTCGCGCGCGTTTTGTTCGTTTCGTTTTGTAAAAGTGTCTTCTCTCTCGCTGTATGGTGTCGCCCTCTCACTCCACAACACACAAACGCGCGCAACCCTCTCGCCACAGGTTTCTCTCCCCCTCTCCTGCCCTGAGCTGCCCTCAGTCGGGCACCAGCAGTCAGTGTTTGCAAAAAAATGTATATGAGTGCGTTTGAGGGGAAGGGGAGGGGGCTAGGAACACTCTCCATGGTGGCGGCTTGGAACCCGATGGTACCCGATGGTCCCCGATGGTACCCGTGTCGTGGGTGTGGCCACCCGGCCCGAGTGAGTACCCGTGCCCAATGGGTACACTGAATGGGCTCGGCCACTCCGATTCGCTATGGGTTCTGAGCGAGCATATGCAAATCGGGTCATTATCAAAGCGCAGCGAATATGTAGTGGCCAGCCTGCCTGCTGGGCAGCCCGCCCCACCTCAGCCCCACTCTCCCGCCGCGCCCCGGCCGGCCCTACGGCAGCCCGATGCATTGCCAGGTGTCCGCCCTCCAACGCCGCCCTCCTCCCCACCGCGTTCCTCTCCGACTACAAGCAGTGCATCGGCGCGCCGCGCCCTGTTGCTCGCCAGCCTTTAAATTGGCGTGCAAAAGATGACGCGGTGTCGGGCGGGGCGGTTTTGCAGGGTGTGGTGGGGCAGGGTGTGGTGGGGCAGGGTGAGGTGGGGCGAGGCGGGTCGGGGCGGGGTGGGGCGGCGCGGCGGGCACGTGCCTGAGTGAAGAGCTAGCGAGCGGGCAGCAAGCGGTCAGCCGAGGCGGCCTTCCCTGTAATTTGCGCTTGTGCTTGCGCCATCATGTACTAAGGCCTCTCCTCCTGCCCGGCCGCCCTATTCCATGTTCCATCCGTTGACGTGGCGGGGCGGGGCGGGGCAGAGAGCCTGGAGCTCTGTCAACATGTTACCCGCGCCGCCCGCCGCGGGGCCCGGCCGGTGAATCAATGCAGCCGAGACGCGTGCTGGCCGACGCCGCCCCCCCGCCCTACCCCTGCCATCATGGCAGATTGAGCCTCATAGAAAAAAAGGACCCACAAGTACCAGTTTTTGTACCGGGGACTGGGGGGTTTCGCCAAACCATCGCAACCCTAGACGTTTTCCTATTGATCGTCAGATACGTTCTTGAACAAAGTAAAGTAAAGAGTAAAAGATCCACACGTCAACTTCACAATGAATGGGAAGAAATGACATTATGAGCAACTCTCGCAAAACCGCAACTGTCTAATTTGCTTTTCACACTAACCTGTCAGTTTGACCCTGGGTCAAAACATGAGAATAACCATCGGGGTGGAAGTGATGACTTCGGTTGAGTTGATGGATTGATGATGGAGTCGAGGGGCTGACTACCATAACCTCCACGCCACAGCACGCGAGGGAGTGAGATAACCATAACCAAAGTTTCCGTGAATTCATTCTGTACTTAAGATTTTCTATGGAGAAACTAGGTCACGTTCCGGTTTCACGAAACCACAATTATTTTGCGTAAATACAGCAAAGCCGCAGAGAACTGTCCAAACACAAGCACAACACAGAATCTTCTGCACTAGAAAGAGTGTGTAACAAGACCTAACCGCAATGTGGTCAGCAGGGAGGGCAACTTGCAGCCATCCCTCGCGAAAGGACGTCGCG